GACTCATCAACTTCTCGAGAATGTTTTAATCCCCGTTGATTAAATTTGCAGCGAAAAATTGATTAAAATCACTGAACACACGAAATGCGCAAATACATTTATTCTTTGTTCGTATTTCGCTTGCAAATGCCGTTTCATTGCATCTATGCTGCGGCGATAATTATGCAAGCTTATTTCGAACGGCGCTCACCGAGCGCACATTGCTTCGCTATACAAAGTGAATGAACATAACTGTTTTACCTCAAATGACCTTCACATAACCAATAATAATAATGTACGAAAAACAAAAACAAAAACAAAACCGAAACCGAAACAGCACAGTTAAATAAGCGCGCGTACAACTGTATTAATATCAACATGTATCGTCTCAGTACGGCTGCTGTTGGCGTTACCACTACCACTGCTACTGCCGCTACTGTTGCTGCTTCAACGAATTCAATTAAATTACCTTTGAACCCGTGCTCAGTTCGATGCTTGGGGGAAATCCATGTCTGACAATCCGTATTTTAACCATCCAACATGCACACACACAAACATTTTATAATTCACTGAGTTTCAATGACCGAACATTGCATTTTCCACACAAATAAATGAGTTCAATCGACCAGCTCTGGACAGATCTTTAATTTTATTTCTCATCGACGGTTCAGTTTCAGTTTACTCTCGGTTTTTTCCTGTTTGGTGCCGTTTGTGTTTTATTCAGCGCTGATTTCGAACAATTTTCCCTTTATGCGTCGATTTTTTAGCGAATTTTTCTTGAAAATAGTCATAGATTGCAATTCAATGCTTGAAAAGATTCTTCAATGATAGCTATGCATTGATTAAATATCACGTATCAATCGGTCGTTTATGAATTGCTCATTTTTGTCGAGAACTTGTATACAAATCTGCATACAAAAAATGACACTCACTGTCACCATTATTTCCATGGATTGCATCTTCATCTGTATGTGTACGAACCATAAGCAAAAATGTGTTAGACAAAATGTTCCTTTGACATTTCAGACCTGGTCTAAGCTCAATCTGTTCCCAATTTGTTCGCATTTTTTTTTTTGCAAAGCCACGTCGAATCAGTGTGAACGTTCAAAAATCAGCATCATCGTCACAAGATGCGATTTCATACAAGTCTCGTTGTAGCCGTGATCGTCTAGTGGTTAGGACCCTACGTTGTGGCCGTAGTAACCGGAGTTCGAATCTTCGTCACGGCAACGTTACCGGCAACATGGTAACGGATGAGACCACTAATTTTTTTCCCAACAGATCACATAAAAGTCATCAATTGTAACTATTTTTCATGTCTATGCCACTCATATTTACGTGGATATTATTTTTTTTTACAAAAAACAATATCAGCGAAAACATGGTGTGTTACAAATGTATGCGACTCAATGTTTGAGTTCACAAAAATAAAAGTAAAATGTGAATAAGTCAAAGGAAAGAAAAAAAAACAGACTTATAAATTACGGATTCAATCTGTGAAGTTCCCTATAAAATTGCTTCAAATTATTTTACCAATGTTTCCAAAGTGCATTTTTTTCTCATTTTTCGTTGTGCGATGGTGTTTCGAATGCATAAACGATGTTGAAAAAAAATATTCAGCCTCATCCGTTACCATATTTTGGGTAACGTTGCCGTGACGAAGATTCGAACTCCGGTTACTACGGCCACAACGTAGGGTCCTAACCACTAGACGATCACGGCTACCAGAGACCGGTGTCTGTGATATTCGCAAACTGTTTCTTAAACTCACACGCACACGCACGCACCGATTTCACTGTGATGCTGAATTTTTTATTGTTACTTTTTCGAACGCGTGGCCGAAACGAAACCATTCACTTAATGCTCTTTTGATTTTGTGAACTCAAACATTGAGTCTCATACATTTGAAACACACCATAATTTTGCTGATATTGTTTTTTTTATAAAAAATAGAATCCACGTAAATTCGAGTCGCATTGACATGAAAAATAGTTACAATTGATGACTTTTATGTGATCTGTTGAGAAAAAAATTGGTGGTCTCATCCGTTACCATGTTTCAGGTAACGTTGCCGTGACGAAGATTCGAACTCCGGTTACTACGGCCACAACGTAGGGTCCTAACCACTAGACGATCACGGCTACAACGAGACTTGTATGAAATTACATCAGTTATCTGCATCTTGGGACGGTGATGCTGATTTTCGAACGTTCATACTCACTTGACGTGGCTTCGCATGAATCAACCTTTCACTTATGTTTTGCTCTAATTTTTGAATGGGCAAACCAAAACTGTCTTATTTTTATCTTTTGAAGTGATTCTTTTTTCATGTATGATTCGAAATGTTTGAATTTTAATTTTTGATGAATTGACAAGAAGAAAAGAATAAGGGAATTTCATGGAAAAAAATTAAAATTGCGCCGTTTCCATTTGGTACAATGTCTAATCATAGCGTTTATTCATATGCACAAATCGGTATTATTTCCAAAATTGCCACTGCAAATGAAACACCATGCATTAAAATGCATTTTAAAGATGTGAGTGATAAGAGATACTATTTGCAATTTTTTCAAGCAAAAAAGTATTTGATCTTATCCGTTCCCATGCTGCTGGTTACCATGTTCAAATAAATTCTAAGGCTAACTAATAGCACTGTGTGTGTTGCTGATAATTCTGAAATCATAGACCATCATAGACTGAGTTAAGTTCATGAGTTGTGTGCTACGAAAACTATGAATAGTTTATCGATGTAGTCGACTATCGGAATATTCAAACTCTAATCGAGGAGAGTGCGCTCTGCTGTAAGAAGAGACACATAAATGTGTTTTCTTTTCAATTCATATTTATTCGTATCGTTCATCGTTTGAGAATATGGAGCTTTAAGTGGTGAGAGCATGGATGAATTGGATGATGTCTATGTAATCCTTTGGTCATTTCTCACTCGCGCCACGCACAAAAAATGTTTTCTCCTGCACTTTCTTTGATAGATGACTATATTTTTCTCTCTGGCTCGTTCATTTTATCGAATTTCTTCATTCTTGAAGCGAAGAGTCTTCGCCGAAGACTGTTTATCCCCTAATCTTTGCAATAAAATCAGCATTTCAAATGCAACCTTTTGATTTCATGAGAGAAATAATGTTTGTTTTTCGTTGTAATTCTTCGTTGTTTTTCAGTGTCTGCCACCAGTGTCTGTTTTTTTAAAGCACCGATAAAAAAAAAACGAAACCAAACTGCATCTTACTGTCTCGTTCAATGGCTTTTGCGTTTCAAATCGAGACTTTCGGTCATAATAAGTTTCGGTTCTGCCAAGTTGTGTGAAGAATGTTGAAAAGCAAAAGTACAAAAGAAAAAACGTCTCGATTTGAGTGCAACTTGTGTAATTGTTGTTGTTGTTTGTGTGATGCTCGGCTAGAAGTGACGCCACCGCAGTTCGAATATAGGATTATTGGACAATAGCGAACGGTATGCAATACACCAAAAACCAATACCATACAACCATTCTTGCCCAGAACTGAAGTCGGTCATAAATCCCAATTCCAATTTAACGATCAAATATGAAGCAAAAAAGAGAACACATAACTCGTACCGATGGCTTTCAATGTCATTGTGAAATGAACGTAAAATAATAATCGTTGCGATTTGTGGCTTATTTCGCGCATTTATGAGAAATCTACACCAATAAAAATGCGCTTGTTTAATACAATGTGTGTTTACACATCTGGGTGTTGATTTTCTTATCTCTCTCCCTCTCTCTCTCATTCGGTTCCTGGTTCTTTGTTCTCAACAAGATCAAACGAGCCACACGTAATTCATTGGTTACGTTGGCAGACCGATGATTGACACATCACATACACACTCGTTCGGATTTTGTGATTAAACACGTTTTCTAGACATAAGATTTAAGCATGTCGAGAAAACTTGAACCAGGAAGAAAAAAAAAACGTTCAAAAAATATTCCATTCATTTCGTTGAAAGAACGAAAATCGAAACCAAATTGATGTAGAGTACGCATATTGTGTTCTATTTTTATAAATAGCCCATAACGGAAGCGATCGCCGTCAATTTAAATGTTATCATTGACATAGAGTGGCCGATCAAATGTGTTGATCATAAAACGATTGCGATTGATTTTCAGGAATTTTTTTTGTTTGTTTTAAGTGTCATTTCGAGTGAAACAAGCGAATCAAACTGTAAATAGAAGCATTTTATGCGTCATATCAGTTGATTTGACCAAATTCAATATCAGTGTACAGTTCATAGAGAATGGAGTTGAGAAAGGGAAATGGAATGCGAAAGAGAACGGAGATCGATTGAATTGATTTGATGGCGCTGCAAAAATGAAACACTTGACTCAAGTGCTCATTCAATTAGATTTTATTATTTTCATATGGCCGAGAGAGAAAAATTGCAGTAAAATGTAATGATTGGCTACAGATTGATTGCTTTGGTCGTTTATTCGTGCTTATTTGTTTGTTCATTCATTAAATCGAATGCTTCTGTGTGTCATAAATTGATTTTTTTTCGCTGCAATCGGTAACATTGCCACCTGATCGATTTCCATAGCGAAACAGCCACTTGATTGACTTTTTATACTACGATGGAGTGTCTCAATCTCTCAATTTGAGCCAGAAACAATGGCCGAGTTCAATGCAAAATGGTGAAACAAACTTGACACCGTGCGAAAATGAGTACGGAGTAAGCTTGCGCGGTTGCGCGGTTGCGCGCACCAGTAAATACTATGAAAACAACAGATAAGAAATTTATTGCCAGCGGCGTCTTTTAATAAAATGCAGTATGCGAGAGAAAAAAAAGCCTACGAACGAACGAACGAAAAAAAAATCCACAGAGTAAACATCACACAATGCCGGGGCTTAGATTTAGCACACGCTCGCTATTTCGTTCATTCAATTGACTAATGTTTTGTGTTTTGTTTTTCTGGTGTTGGAATGTTTATAGCCACGGTTGAAAATGTGCAAATGAATAAATTCTCTTATTGCTCTCCTTGTTTTAACTACTTCTAGACAGTGAAATAGTGACGCTCACAGAATGGGTTATAATAATCCAGCGTTTGTAGACGATGACAACAAATCATCAAACACAAGGACAACCATTCGGCATGACGATAAGCAACATCAACAGCAGCAGCAGCAGCAGCAAACAAATGATGTCGTGCACGAAACAACGGTAAATAATTCCGAAAATTGCGCTCTTTTAAATGCGCACCCTCGCTCTCCATGTTTGGCCGATCAAAGACGAAGCGTTTAGTAGTTTGTCGCTTTGTTAATGTTTCAATTTAAATTTTCCGTCTTTTTTTGGTCTTTTCGGCGGGCGATGCGCATCGTCTCTCATCGGGAATAATTTATTCAATTATTTGGTGTGTTTGTTGTTTCAATTTGAATTTTCGTTGACGAAATATGCCGACAGAATGGTGTGTCAACAACAGGTACAGGTAGCAGTCCAGTCGCATCAAACAAACCAGCAACGTCGGCGCCCAAAGAACGAGCCAACTGGGGCAATGACGTTGAATTTTTGATGAGTTGCATAGCGATGTCCGTTGGCTTGGGCAACATTTGGAGATTCCCATTCACAGCACTGGAGAACGGTGGCGGTGCATTTCTAATACCATATTTAATTGTACTGCTTATCATCGGACGACCATTGTATTACATGGAAATGTTACTTGGACAATTTTCCAGCCGAAGCAGCATCAAAGTTTTTGATTTGGCCCCAGCGCTCAGAGGTTTGTGTGTGCTTTTTTTTCGTCATTATCCGAAAAATTAATTAAAAGCACTAACAAATTCATCTTTTCACATTCATAATTTACATGCAGGATAATTTTTTTTTCTGGCAGAGTTGCATATTTTGCGGCGTGAGAGAGAGAGTGGGAGAATCATTCTCTGAGAATGGGAAAGTGGGACCATGATACACTTGAACAAATAGAAGAAGTAGCAAATTACATTTTTTTTTCTGCTGCTATTTCTCTCTTTTTCTCTTTTTCTCTCCCTTTTTCTTTCTCTCGCTCACTCTCTGCATGTGCCGACCACCCGTGTTTCCTCGGGGTCCATTTCGTTTGGTATCATGAACACAAATCAAATAACGCGACTCACTCATACTCACTCGTTTGATTTTGTCATATCTCATTACCGAATCTTGAAGCAACAGCGGAGAACTTTTGACAGCGAACCTTTTTCTTTAGAATAGGCTTTGTTAACCGTTTCTTTTCATCCTCTTATAGGCGTTGGTTATGCTCAAGTCATTTCAACAAGTATAGTGGCCACGTATTATGTCACCATCATGGCTATTACTTTACACTATTTCTTCAACTCATTCAAAGCAATTTTACCATGGACCGAATGCTCCAATGAATGGGGCGACAGTTGTACACCGTCATCACGTGACACAAACATCTTTAAATACATCAATCAATCGCTGGCCGATCGCAGCTCCTCAGCTGAATTGTACTATGAGTAAGTTTTTTGTGGTGGATTTTGCTATTTATGGTCCTGGTCGACATCAAATGGCTACCCAGGGAAAAGAAGTAAGACCGGAATATGGTTGCTCAAGAAAAAGTTTTGAACAAAATTGTTCAAGTGATGGGGGAAGAAAACACTTTTTTCGATGATATTATTTCTTCGAATCAAAATGACAATTTTGTACTGTAGTGGGCTTGTTGGTTGACACAGAACAAACAGTTTTTATAAACAATTGGAACTTGAATGAAAAAAATGTGCATATAACTTAAAAATAGCATAATTTAAATTGATTTAATAAAGAAAATAAACAATTCCGAATTGAATCGATCAATTTTGTCGCAAAAATGTAATTTCAAACGAAAAAAAATCGATTTAAACTCAAAAAAATGAATTGAATTCAACTTCCAGCTAAATACATCGGTCTAATGAACAACATATCCATCAATTTATGTATTTTCACATCAAAGAGGCCACATTTGTGTGGCTTCAAGTCGGTTGCGTTGCAGCGTGTCAAATGTGGTGGTAGTCGATGTCGTCATCGTTGACACCGTTATAATGTGTGTGCCTATTTGCAATCACGATCAAAATGAACAATGTCATAAATCATAATTTATTGATGTGTCAACATGTGTGTGTGTGTGTGTTTCTCTCTTTCTCTCTCTCTCTCTCTCTCTCTCTCTCTCTCTCTCTCTCTCTCTCTCTCTCTCTCTTTCTCTCTGGTTCGGTTTGAGATAAGCCGAGTATTTTGTAGGATTTTGCTTACAACTTTATGTTCGATACATCGGTTTGTACATCGACATGCTGTCGTAATTTGTTTTTGCTGTCGTTGTCGATATCGCACGAATTCATCTCTCGAGCGAACCGAGAAGCCTATAAATAAAAAAAAAACAAGACAGCCGCTGACTGAGTGACGACACGTTAAAAAAATGCTTTGCGTTTATACACGGAGTATCAAATCACACACAGTACTTTGATAGGCCGTTACAGCTAGAAAAGCAGCGCAATGTACGTTTGCTCCAAAGAACGCATGTTCGAATCCCAGGAAATCATATACATTTTTTATGCCACTTTGATTGTATTTTTTTTTCAATTTTATCACACGCTTAAATGTCACATCTCATTTTCTTACGTTCAAGTGATATTTTTCAATTTAAACACATTTTTCCTGTTTCATAACCGTTTTGCTTCCGTTTTTGAAGGATTTTTTTTTCTATTTGAATCTTTGTACTCAAAAGAGCAAATGACACGTTCAATTTACTGGGAAAATACAAAAATATTAACATTTATCGCATTGTAGATACAAAAATATTCTCCCGTCGAATCGGAAATGTGGCTCATGTATGTGGATGATAAACGCTATCACGAGCTAACTCACACTGAATATGTGTCAAAGTTTCAGTAAATGTGACCACTTTTCAAATAGATTAATAATTTTATTGAAATTTATTCATTCACAGGAATAATTCTTTTCGTTATCAATAATTTCAATTCAATCAGTCAACGCATTTCATTGCGGTCATTTTGACTGCATCCAAATTGAATTAGACGGAATGGAAAGTATGTGCAATGCAAAATGTGCACTCGTACAACTCGTTCACGTTCAGCTTACATCGCACAATATTCACATTTGATTGGTAATTCACAAGACTCCGTGGCGCAATGGTAGCGCGTCTGACTCCAGATCAGAAGGTTGCGTGTTCAATTCACGTCGGGGTCAATCCTGGTTTTTTATTACAAAGATATTGAATCAAAAATGACTTGGGGTGATTTATTCAATCGAATATTCTTCAGAAATGATTAAAAAAATTTTTTCTCTTGATTAAAACATTATTTTTGTGTTAATTTTTTTTTGTTTAGTTGGATATTAGCGTATTTATATTCATTCATTTGATCATGTTTATAGATCATTATTTGTAAATAAAGAATTGACCGAAGAATAATTTTAAATTCAATATGAAACACACTCTTCAATGCACGATTAGTGTGTTTCATATTAAAATTCAAATTATTCTTCGGTTAATGGCTGTAAAATCAACTAAAAAATTATTTTAATCATTATTGAAGTGTATTTATTTGAAAAAATCACCACAAGTCATTTTTGATTGTCTATCTTAGTAAAAAAAATAGGATTGACCCCGACGTGAATTGAACACGCAACCTTCTGATCTGGAGTCAGACGCGCTACCATTGCGCCACGGAGTCTTGTAAACTTAAATGAGGTTATTTGCCCATATTGTGTGTGTGTTTTTACCAACCAACAACTAGATTAGATTAAAATGAAAAGTACGACTTGAATTCATTAACCATTTTGCAGTTAATTTTATGTCAAAATTCCAATATTTTCATTCCTCATTGAATTGAGTTGATGAATGATGCGTTTTAGTCTAAATTTTGGTACTTAACCGAAGAAAAAGAAAAATTTAAATAAAAATCGATGATGCATTCGATGGCTTTGCGGTGCAAAATGAGTATTGTAATCTAATTATCATTCGAATCGATGAAGAAACCAGTCGTTTTGGACTATGAGCAAATCTTTGTTCTTTGGCAGTCACACCACATGCTCGTGGTTTTTTTTTAACCTGACAGTGCTTGTCAGTATAGAGCGTGTCGTGTGACTCCTCTTTGGAAACTTTGGTAGCAGCAGCACTACTAGTCTACGGTAGACTGTCTACCATCGTACACGTTCAGCTTACATCGCTCAATATTCACATTTGCTTGGTAATTTACAAGACTCCGTGGCGCAATGGTAGCGCGTCTGACTCCAGATCAGAAGGTTGCGTGTTCAATTCACGTGGGGGTCAATTCTGCTTCTTCTTTTTTTAATAAGCGAAACCAATCAAAAATGACACACAAAAAACTTTCGATACAGCCGACAAATTGTAACGAATAAGGTATCACATGAAAGCTGGTTCAATTCCCTATATTTGTTTCGAAACAAGCATCTAAAATATTCAGTGGTTGACATTTGCCCTATCTGTTTTCTTCATGAACCAGCCACCCTCGTCTAATACCATTGATTTTACATGTAAAATAACAACAAAAAACGACAAAAGTGACCTCTCGTAGCGGCACAGTTGAAACTAACGAAACAAACACAATTGAACATGTCATTTTCATGTTCAGTGTTGGTTCTGTTGTTTGCCGTATAGCCGGAGAGAGATGTCTACAGCTTAGTGGCATTGCATGACATTCAACATCCATGGAACCAGCACGTGATAAAGGGTTAAATAAGAAAAAACCATTCAATTTTAGAATTTCCAACGAATTGAATGTTCAAGAATTGCTCAATAAGATATATAAATTTTTCATTCGACATTTTGTTGAACAAAATGAAAATTGGTTCGTATTCAAAGTAGAAAAGCAGTATTTCAACTCCGTAATTTGTCTGAAAATGTCTTAAATTATATAGAACGTTTCAAGTTTACTTCGCAACCGATTTTTTGTTCGCTTTCTTTCATGGATTATCTTATAGGCAAATGATCTAATCTCCCGAAGATTTACTACAAATTGAAAATAGTTACAATTTTATTTTAAACGAGATTTCAAGACAATAAACAGACATTAGACCCATAGTCAGAATAGAATGTGTGAAAACAAATTGGATACTCGTTCTCGTTTTTAAATATATTTAAAGACGGATAATCCGTCTAGCGAAAATTGGCTGTTGAAACATAAGAACCAAAGCAGTTGAGTGTCAAAGCACGTCGGGGGGTCATCACCCTTTTTTTACGCATTCTGCGACCGAAAAAAAACACATACACAACCGTCATCATTTATTATTTGATTGTCTGAGTTTTGACAATGCCATTGAACACAGCAATAAACAAACGAGAAAAAAAGATCAACCGTACCAAATATCGTAACCAGATGTTTGGTTCGATGAAACAGCTTGTTTCGTTCTTGTTCTGGGTGTTGCTGCTTTTTTTTCCGTGACTATTTGGATCAAAACATAAAACAACAAAAACACACGCTCGCACAAACATCATGGTGGGACAACAGGAAAAGATATGTGTCGTGAGAAGGTGAACGAAGATTTATTTGCTGACCTTGCACTCATCAAATGACAACGATTCAAGAACGTTGGAATCGTGTGAGGGGCAAAGCATTGCGTTGTTGTCATTCTTGTATTGAATATGTTGTCGAATCGAAGTGTTTTTTTTTACCATAAAAAATTGATAAAACAAATGACTACCAGTTCCGGTCGAAGCTAAGCGTTTGAACTAATAAATTGGATTTTCAACGATTTCACATCGCCGTTATTGTTTAGAGCGTTGTTGCTGAAATCGAATCCATTAATTTTAAAACCATTTCCGAAATATTTCGCTTCAGCAATGACTTGCAATTTAGACAATATACTAACTATTGCGTTTGAAAATCCTACAGAAAAGTGGTACTAAAAGAGTATACATCGATTGAAAATGGGATTGGCATGCCTGACCTCTATTTGGCGCTGTGCTTGGCATTGGCTTGGATAATCATTGGGTCAGTGCTGATCAAAGGAGTGCAAAGTTCAGGGAAGGCCTCTTATTTCTTGGGTATGTATATCAAATTCGTCGATTTAGTTTCAATCAAAAATCGATTAATTGAGTAATTTCATGTCATTTTTACGTTCATTCTTCCAGCATTGTTCCCATATGTCATCCTCGTTATTCTGTTGATTCGTGCGGTGACATTGCCCGGTGCATTCAATGGCATTATGTTCTTCATTCGACCCAAATGGGATAAGCTTCTTGATCCAAATGTGAGTTGTGTTGAAAAAATTAGTTGATTTAATTTGATTTGAATTGAATTTGATTAAACTAACCTCCGATGTTTTGAATAGGTTTGGTTTGCAGCAATTACACAGTGTTTTTTCTCATTGGCCGTATGCTTTGGTAATTTAATTATGTACGCATCGTTCAATCGATTCGATCACAATGTCTATCGTGATGCAACAATTGTTACCACGTTGGATACATTTACCTCAATGCTTGCTGGATGTACGATTTTCGGTATTCTTGGACACTTGGCCCATGAGAGCGGTGCAACCGATGTCGCTCAAGTGGTTAAAGGCGGTGCTGGATTGGCCTTTATCTCGTACCCAGATGCTATTGGACGATTCCAATTTGTGCCACAAGTATGTTCAACATCGAATGATTTTGATTTATACCACTAGGCTCACATGAGTTATACCATTAGTGAATTGACATAGGTTTCATTCATTCATCAGCTTGATATTTTTTCAAATTAGTTTTGATGATGAATGTTTTAAAATTTAATTCCCTTATTGAATTCCCCGTGTTTTTCTCCATATTCCCTTGACTTTTATTCGCATTGTTTATTTTAATTTCGATTTTTCATTCTTTTTATTAGGTCTCTTTTTGTTCCATCGATTTTTTTTTGTTCGTTCTCGACAACATTTTCAATTCGCTTTTACTTTCAGGTTTTTTCTGTGCTGTTCTTCTTTATGCTATTCGTTCTGGGTATCGGTAGCAATATTGCGATGTGTTCCTGCATTATAACTGCCATTCACGATCAATTTCCCAAATGGAAACCATCATTGGTGTGCATCGGTGTTGCGACTACCGGCTTTTTGATTGGACTTTTCTATATTACTCCGGTGAGTAAATGAATATCGATTTCATCGCGTTTGTTGCTGTTTGTGCAACGGAAGTGGAAAAGTACCCTTTTTCGCTCCCTTTGTTGACATTCTCGCTTTTTATATTGATTCTCTACTTTTTTGTGACCTATTAACTTGTTCTCCCATTTAATACTTTTTCATCGTGCTATGGCTTTTACCATCAATGGCAATTTTTACTCACTCCCGTGTCATTTTATCCGTTTACTAGGGTGGTCAATTCATTTTGAACTTGGTCGACTTCTTTGGTGCTTCATTCGTTGTGTTCATATTGGCGATTGCAGAAATAGTCGCCGTTTGCTGGATTTATGGTAAGCATTAGTGTAATGTAATGGCAAAGGGCATGATCGATTATTAAAGGCCATTTAATTTGATTATTAAATCATTTCTGGGCCGATTTTATTCATTTTCTAAGTTAAAGCAGTGAAAGTGAAGCAAACCAGTTTCATTTCCGCCTTTCTGTTGAGTGGTGTCTGGTAGATTTACGGCCTATAACGGTTTACGTTATACATGTGTTCAAATGTTGCCCGTCTAAAGGCGGTTATATGCACTAAACGTTTGAACTTGATATACCTCCAACCATTTTGAAAGCTTAATGTACCTCAACTCGAGAAAAAAACTTCATTTTAGAAAAAAAAAATCGAGAATGAACCAAATATCCTCATTTCTAATTAGATAAATTTAATGTCAAATTTCATTCGAAATTTGCAGGAACTGATCGTCTTTGCCGTGACGCCGAGTTTATGATTGGTCGAAATCCGGGCAAGTATTGGAGAACTTGTTGGGGAGTGCTAACACCTGTTATTATGATCATCATTCTCCTGTACACACTTGTTTCGTTCAAGCCGTTGACGTACAAAAATCAATTTTATCCACCAACCGCTTACGGTAAATTGTTGTTTTTCTTGCGAGAAATCGTGTGAAAAAATTTAAAGAAAAATCGAGTGAACAAAATCTCTTCAAATTGCATTTATTTTCGGCTCAACCGAAGACTTTCCATAGAAATGCTGTAGCTCTTGTTCACACGATTTCTCCTCTCTTCCTAAGAGAAAGGGATGGAATAAATCCCAAAGAATAAGAAAACGCAACGTATATCTTAATAAATTTTTAATCAATGTGTTTTCTTTTCGAAATTGGCCAAACAGCAATCGGTTGGACAATATCCGCGGTGGGATTGATGCAATTACCGTTCTGGGCAATTTACGCTGTGATAAAGCAAAAGGGTGACACATGGGGCGAGAAAATTCGCAATTCATTTCGTCCGAATGCAAAATGGGGCCCAGCAGATCCAGCCACACTGGAACGATATCAAAAATACATCGACAACTGGCACAGTGAAATCACAGCAAATCCACCGAGAAACCTATGGCAAAAGGTGATACGAAAAATCTATGGCTGAAAATGATGCCAAAATCAGCTCAACAACGTAACGTTTACGTCCAAGAATTTAGGGTTAAATTTTTAGTTGTAGTGAGAATTTTTGTAAGTTTTTTTGTAAAGTTAAGATTGTTGTTTTTTTAAATAAATAAAACGTCGCATTTTTCTGTATAAAAGCACCAGACAACCGTTTTTTTTTTCGACTACAAAAAAGGTGTTGGGTGATTTTTTCTGTAGAAGCAATTTTCATGGAGAGAAAAAACTAGCTTAGAGCAAAAGGGAGAAAAAAAAGCTCTCATAGAGTGTGCTCTCAGTCTTAATGTGACACACTTTATGACACCAAAAATGCTGCCTTTTCTAAGTTCATTGACTTTTTCGTTGGTTTGAAGAAAAAAATAACAAAACAACTGTTCCTCTACTTCTTTGCTCTACGGAAAAGTATTTGAAGCTGTTTTTGTTTTCATTTGACTAAACTTTAAATGGTCGTTGGTCACACCAAAAGAGAAAAGTTTTCCCTTCGAATCGCTCGGTGTTCCGTTCGCAAGAACTGGAGCACCTTTGAATCGCTCGGTTTCGAGTGAACATTCCGTGTAAACAGTTTACAAATGGTTTCTTAAGAACTCTTCGTTCTAACGAGCATGCATCGAGCAGTCAATCAAAATGGTAGTATGCCCAATGGTCTCTCAATTGGCCTAGTCTATGATGAAGAACAAATTCACAGAAGAACAATTTAGGAACAACGATTTATGACCGAAAATTGTGCCATTCCAGCAAAGTGTTGTTGGTTTTGTAAAATGGATGGAGAATTTTTGTTTTGGTTCGGGGGCATGAAAAAATCCAGAATGGAATAGCATTTGAAAAAATCTACAACGGTATAGCATAAATTTTGGTATAAATCCATGCTCATGTATGTTGTATACAAAAAGTCTGCAATCGACATGAATAAATCGTTTTGAAATAGGCATTTTGACCCTTCTTCGTTCTTTGATAAATGACAACAAGAAGTGTGGATTAAAATATTTACCGGTTGTTATGCCATTGGATAAATAATTTAAAACAGCCACTTAAAATGGAGCTCAACTATTACAAAATAGATAATAATTTGATGCAAAAATGGCTTATAAATAAAACATGTCACCTACAGATGTTTCCGCACCCAAATCGAGAAAAACAAACATTATTCATTTTTTGTGTGGCTTTTTTTTTCGACTGTAAATTTGAAAAATGAAAATCAACACGGGTGTCACCAAAACCAAACCCTTTTGTGCTGTCCGCCTCCCACAGTGTGTAACATTGACCGGTCGGTCATTATAAATCATGTGGGTATTTAAAATCAAAAATCGATAAAATATGCTGTATCGAAATGATAACAAATGAAATCATTAGTTTGATTATAAAGTCTACGAAAACTAATTATCATCGTTTTTATGATTTAATGATTATTGCGACTATTATTGAGTTTGTGGAATTTTATATATCCATCAATTTGCACACTCTCAATGGGTAAAGTATTGCTGTTGAATACACAAAATGACACACAGACACACCAATTTTCCATTCTCTTTTCCCGTCTACTGTTGCCATTGCTGTTGTTGTTGTTGTCGTCGTGCCTCTGGTTCTTGAACAAAGTGACCCAATTGCGTTTTATGTATTTTTGCACTAATTACAAATCGATAATGGAAAATTTGTCATAGCAATTAGTGGTTATTATGTGCAGTGTTCGCAACTGGATGATTAAATGATGGTACGGCACAAAAACAGGCTTTGGCTTTGGACTTGATGGCGTGTGTGTATGTGTGTGTGTGTTTGTGCGTAGACAAACAGCTAAAATAAACAGCGGCTTCGAAAATTCTGAATGAATCATTCGTTAGCCGAATGTTAGCCCATGTATTTTTGGAGCTATTCTTTTTGACTCGATACATTTTCAACGTTAGCTTGGAATATTTCTATGGCAGCTTGACGAATTCAATAGCTATGAAATTGTCCTTGCTACGAATCCAAAGTTGTATGTTCTGCCCGTGAATTTGGTTTAGTTGAATTTCCAAGCTTTCCCAGCTATTATTCTAGAAGCAGTATAGAAGTATTTCAACAAGTTCAAAGAAACTTTACGATCACACAAGAGGTGATGACACAAAGGAGACGAAATATTCGCACACGCTCACACTCACACCACCAATTTCCACTGAAAGCAAAGTAACACTTGTCAAAATGGAATAATATGCTAACTCAATAATAATAATAACTAAGCATGGGGTGGGTGGGTGCTCTGGAACGGTCATGGTACGCGCGTTTCAAGTATCGGAGAGAGAGAGAGAGAGAGAGAGAGAGAGAAAAGGTAGGAGTTTGGTTTTCTTTGTACTTGTCAACACCAGACTATGGGCAGGCAATCCATTTGCTGTCAATGAATCTATTTAACGATGATGATGACACATCTACAGAAAAGTGACAGCGAGACACTTGAAATATGTGTATGGTGATAAAAAAAAAATATGTATAGAGACACATACACACATATTTTGAAATGGCTTCGAAATTAATTTCGAACTGTCAATTTAGCAATTTGCCGTGGAAAAGCTCGAAATATGAGAGAAAGTGTGAAAAATAAGGTGGAGATGGAAAGGGAGGTAGGCAGAGAGTGGAGGATTGAAGAAGAGAGAGGAAGAGCATGGAACAGTGTGGAAGAGAGGTGAAGAGAAGAAGAGAAGAAGAGAAAGGGAAAGAGAGAAAGAGTGCGATAGAATATGACAAAGAGGGAAAGGGAATGCAAGGTAAAGAGCAGGAGAGACAGGAGAAAAGGTAGAGAAAAAGCGAGTATTAGTAGCGCTAACGCACTACGAACAATATGTTTGATTTATGAAAATGGTAAAATGATGACATGAAAAGCGAAAATCAAACGAGCCAGTAAGAAAAGGCAAGGGAAACAGAGTGAGTGAGACAACGAACCAGCGAGGCATCGATGGAAAGAGAAAAAGACAAGAAGATAAAAAGAGAGTGAAATTCCCCTATAATTTCTATATGAACAACGACTTGAATAGTGGGGCACAGCCACCTCAACTGCATATGCATCGAAAAGCATGTCCGACTCATATCCGAATTTCTCGAGATTGAAATTTGCTTCGACGATAAAACAAACACATACATATCCCGTATTGGCAACAGTAAACTATTTTGGTCTAGACTTGTCCCAGGCCCAGCCATGCACATACACAGACATTGGCAAATTACAATGTGTCGACTGTTGTCTACCCGTGCCACACACAGCGCCGTAGCCAGAAAAAAAAATTGGAGGGTGCAAAATCGAAATTTTTCTTTTGTTGCACCTTTGAAACCCGATTTTGCACCCGACTTTGCACCCGATTTTGTTGCACCTTTGAAATTTTTGGAGGGTGCAATGCACCCATTGCGCCGGCCTGGCTACGGCGCTGGCCACACAGCTATGAATAATACATAATCAGCTCTGTTCGGTACACATCATTCAAGAACATCTAACGGTATTGTTTTTAATTTGCATAATTTGATGCATTTAAATAGAAATGTTATTTGCGCAGCAGTTGAAAATTAATTGCAATTAAGCTGAATATCGAATTATTTCGCATTCGACTAGGTCGTTGGTTCGTTGGCTCGTTCATTCGTTCATTCGTTCGGTAAATTGTTTGATACAACACAGCAAAAAATTTCGCTACCGTTCGACAGGCAATATGGTTGAGCTGAAGGACAGCACGCGAAAAAAGAAGAACGAGAGAATGAGCGGAGGAGGGAGAGAAATCAGCGACAGCGACGATACCTGTGTGTATATGTGCATATCAATTTGTGCACCGGATCCCATTGTTATTCTTTTTCACGTTTTTCTCGGTTTTAATTCCTTTGACGACGATGACAACGTCGACAATGACCGATGACATATATAATTTCCAGGAGAAAATTGTCGAAAGCGAATCGGCCTTTCGGTAAACTTGCGTGCCATTCCGTGCGTACCGTTAACAACAGTTGAGAAATTTTTTAAAAAGATTACGACCTGAATAAAAACCGAAGAAAATTATTCGCCGTCGCCGTCGCCGTCGCCGTCGTTGTCGATATTTGTATTTTCCGTTAAAAAAGCATTCACCTTAAATGCCATCATCGTCGTCGTCGACATCCTCGCACTCACTAGCAATACTCGTTGGTCGGCGTCTCTCGTACAAATGCAATCGTTCATATTTTAAGTGCCGATGCGATATTCCATATTCTCTAGCTTCAACCATATTTTCCCGATCTCTCTCTATCTCCCGCTATCTCTCTGTGTGTAACCAATATGTACAAATATCTTGAAACATTGTCACAGTGTGTCGAATTGCCGACTTGTTGTACTGTGTGTTGTTTCTTTGTTCGGGTGTGATGTTCGGCACACAGTGATTCAGGCAAGCAGGCAGGCAGGCAGTGAAGCATCTTTGGGAGCGTGTAATAACAAAATCATCCTCTCTACATATATCGGTTGTGTGTAGCTCGGTGAAAAATGGATTGATGACACACACGCACATCTATCAAATTCATATATCACGGCGCGCGAGTCTCTGTCTCTGTCTGTCGCTTTCACTCTCTGACATTCTGTCTATTGCGCTGCGAGCGAGAGAGTTGTCGAAGCGAAAAGTGGCAGACGCTTTTTCCCTATCACCGCATGACGACGACGGCAACGACAACGATGACGAGAGGAGCACACGACCGTTTCGAACGAAAACACACAAGCTTGATCGCCCCTATTTGCTGTGCACCGTGCACACCGTCGTCACATTGTGTGCTTGACTCGGTGAGTTCTCGGATTGTTTTTTGGCCAACGAAAAAATAAAGCGAAACATACACGGTGTGACACACACACACACACACACACACACACACCGAGACAGAAGCGAGGGAACGTGCGCGCTCGCTCGTTCGGTTTGCTTGCGTTTTATTTAATTTCGAACGTTGAAGCAGATGAAGAAAACAACAACATTGAAATATATATTTTTTGCATACATGATTTTCAACTTAACAACATAATATTTATCATTTTTATCATTTTGTGACCGACGTCGAAGCGTTTCAGTACGTTCAGTGAGTCGAGTGTCGAAACAGTGCCGTATTTTGTTTTGTGTACGTTTGGTTTCATCTTCTCGGTGTGTTTTTGTGCTGCTGCTGCTGCTGTTGCTTCTGTTGGTTGCTGC